ATTAATTCAAATAACGGCCTTCTAGAGAAATCTCATTTACTGAGAAACGGCAGCGCAAAAGAGACGCGGATAACACGCTAAAAATAAAACTAGAAAAAGGTTCAAAGGCAGAGTGGATTGATTTATTTATTAGCATTGCACTAAAGCTATTTGCCACAGAAGAGTTTTTAATCGGAATTTTCGAACCGCCCGATTACATTAAACTGAATCAACGTAATAAAAATAAACACGGAAAATTAGATAACACTTTCTAAAATCCAGTCAGGTGGACTGTAATGAGGTGCTAAATACAGCACATGCAATCTGAGTTCGGAAACTGTGGACTTAACTAGACGACAGAATAACAATGAGAATAATATTCAATGTAGTTTTCTAGTTAGATCAAGTAAAACGGAGTGACTTTTTCCTTTTCAAGGTTGTAAAACTCTTCAGCTAGCAGTTGATTAGGTTTTTAAGTTAAGTTTTATACACAACCTTTCTAATTCGCATTAAGTAGACCACATCAATGAAAAACCGTATAAAAATCCCCATTCCCAAGCCACATTTGAAGCCACACCAAAAATTTCAGCCATTAAAGCATTGCATTTTGCTCTACAGCTATCAACATACCACTTTTTAATGTCAAAATTCGTATTAGCACCATAAGGCTCAGCCAGGCATTCCACATGAGGGTAATCCTGCACAAAATTGGCACCGAAACCGAACGAATCAAATTGCCAAAAAGTCTGTAAATCCATGGTGTTTTTTTAGCTTAAAAAAGCGCGACACAGCGACACATTCAATCCGAACCCGATTGACCAATGCTCGCTACTAATAACGCCTATAATAATTAGGCAAAGTCTTTTAAAAGCTATTTCAAATCGATTTTCGATCATTAAGGTTAAATGCAGATAGAGGAAACCAATAACCTACACACCAAACATTTAAAAAATTACTTTGTCTTGGAACACCAAATATAGCTTTCGGTTATCAAGTGACGACTTCCACAAATACTTAATTACATTCCGTTTGATTTGATTTATTATTAAGCAGCAAATATGCATTAATCAGTGCGATGGTTTACGTGTGCTTATTTCCAATGATCTCACGATTACTCTTGTGAAATGTTAAATTATCGCAAACGCCGATCAGTGTTGCATAAACACTCGGTATATAGTTTTATCTGGAAATTGTTGCTTGGAAAATATGATGCATTGGGTCCAGCTGACCTCTCAAGGGTTTAAACTGATTGTAATTATGTGACAAACGTTTGCAGTGTTTTGCAGACCATAAACAACTATATGTACGGGTTAAAGGAAAAATTTGACTTCGGTAGTGGCAAATTTCCCAGAAAATCCACTATTTCACGGCGCCTTGAACGTGAAACAATCCACTTTAGCTCTATAAACATTTACGCATGCATGGCACAAATGGGGGAGACTTCAAGCCAATTGCGACAAACAAAAAATACATTTTCTATTGCATGAGGTTATCGAGGTCGGTGTCAGTTCGGTAAAAACAAAAACACACCTCTGCCTATTTCTGGTGACCTACATCAGATTGTTAACGTGAACAATGAGTGCAGGAAACAACGAAAATGAGAATGCTTCTTTAATTGCGGATTTTCACGCCTTTGATTACTGCATACCAGTAAGATTAACAATAATAAGAGATTAGAGTACTAATAACAAGTTGCGAAAAATAACTATGGAGTTGACCATTTATTTGGGTGACTGGTGAAAATTTCGGCTGGCCTAATTTATCAGTCTCCTTTACATTATTAATTACGTATAAACCGAGTTGTTTATTTACTTGGGTTGGATATTTTAAACCGGACTACTTTTGAGGCCTAGCTTTGTCTTTAAATCCCTTCAGTCGATATTTATAAGATGAATATTGAGCTAAACCAACCATTTACCTAAATCTAAAACGAAAGGAACTCAATCAGCGCTATTGAATCAAGGATTTTGCCTCAATGAAAGTATTGTGCTCAGTTTCTATTTGCATTTGAATTGTAATGGACTTTGAAAAGTGCTTTATAATCTAATGAGTATGGCAGTAAGCAGCATTTAGAAACACAGCAGCAGCATGCAATCGATATCTGATTCCAAACATAATTTAGATACAATATCAATTAAGCAAAGATCTATGAAAAATGTGACCCAGGATTATCTGATAAGGAATGAAGGCATAAAACCATGTGAAAAGGACAAGATTAAATGATAAACCAGTAGACAACCAACTAGCTGCTTTCTTCATGCGGACCAAAAGGTCAGAGGAGCGTTTACAGGCACCCGAAAGTTGGCCTTCACCTTATGCTATTCAGAACGCCATTAATAAGGGTTTCAGTACAACTGACAATAATTTATTAAACATATAGACAAGCTAAACAAAAATAACTTTCAAAAATAACATAAAGCCCCAAATGAGCTGAAGACAAACGCATTGACATTCTCTCTTAACTCCTAGTGTTGGGACATCAAATTTAGGGAAAGTAGGTTACGTAGGCCCAGGAGCCAAGCCAGTGGCCACTTCCAAAATAACACCAATTTTTGACCTGACTGTTGCCCAGATGTATGCACTTATTTGCCCTGAACTATTCGTATGTTAACTACATTCTAGAAACACTGTATTATAAAGCAAAAGCAACTAGAAATAAAAAGCAAACACACTACTGCTGGTCACTTCACTGAACCCTCTTGGTGAGGTACTTTCTAACCACTAACCTTCGTTTTTCTTTGGGGGCTTTGGGCTTTGTATCCATTTTGAAACATGCACGTCTTAGACACTGCCAAGGAAGTACACCAAACAAATCACTAGAACGCACAAAACCACTTAAACACACGACTTAAAAATCTTCTCTTGAAATATTATGTTTCACTTTGAGCTGAATGACGTTTAGATGTCGAACACCAGCAGTCATTTCAATTGTTCTGCTTAATTTACATCGCAGTTAAAAGAAAGAAGCTCGATTTCTTGAGTTAATATTGGAGTTGAGATTATTTAAGAGTAATGGGGATTAAATTTGGGTTGATAATGCTTTTTGGGGTGTCGATTCTGTATATATGACTGGGATAAAAAAGATTTGGTTTGAAAATTGGGAAAATTCCGGCAACCAGGCTTACACCCAGATTCAAACTCAATGCCTTTGACTGCATTTACACCATACAAAGATTCACCAATATGATACAGTTTGAATTTGAAACATTAATAAATCTAACAATTAATTAATTTTTTCCCAGAAAACTAACTTTTTGATCATTGATATTGCGTTTTTGTGACGTTATTTTTAATATTTCGAAGATTTATCGCAGTTTGATAACCGACTTAAAAATCATATATTAAACCTTTATCAATTCAAGTCTAAACTATGCGATTTTAATTTGATGATGTCATTTTTTCGATAATTTCCTTGATATACATATTGTGGTGTAATTAGGGCACTTTTTCAAAATATTCCAGCGCTAAATTTTCCACCAGCAACTGGTTCATCACGATTTTAAACTCAGTTGATTTTAATTAAACTCCCCAATCAATTAATCTTCTTTAAGTCTCAATTGGAAAAACTACATTTAATCGCATTTTCCAGGATATTGCGAAAAATCCCCATTTCAGCAAATTCCAGCCAAAGCCCTTTGTGCAAATTAGGGTGAAACCCTCATACAGGGCCATTTTATTACGAATCTCAATATTCTTTCAATCAACTTTGCCAGAATAAATCCAGATTGCAGAAAAGTTAAGAAACTGCCAACTCAATAAACCATATTTAATATAGCTCTTAAATCTATCTGTAAAACACTACGAGCAACTAAACGCGAACCAAAATGTGCAACACCCTTTCAAAGAAACCTCATCCTGCTGCTGTTGGCTATTTATCTGTGCCTGATGGTTCAGCAGCTTCAGCTTGAGTTTCGGCCTCGGCCATACTGCTCAGTTCGTCATCATCAGTCAATTCTCTATTATACAGCGTGGGAAACTTCTGCATGCACATTTGCATGGTTTTGAACTTATCCAAACAGTCGCTTCCTGAAACGAACGAACCTCTGTTATATCAATTGGACGTTACAATAGAGCTAAAAATCTACCTTTTGGTTCAGACTTCGATTGGTGAAAGCAGCTGAAAGCATTCCGAAATTCCACCCCGCAAGGGCCTGTTGCCATGCCCCCCAGGCAAGGACAGTTCCAGTTTATGTCCCCATTCGCTAGTATAAGGCCGGGCTGGGGATCTGGCGGAGGAAGGGCTATTGTGCTGGGCACGGAATGGTCTTCCTTAGTAGCAAAAATGACTAGATCCTTGCCATTTAAGCCCATCTTTCGGCAGTGAGACATTTTCGCTGCAGCTCCCTTGGACTAATGCTTATACTCTCGGCTGTCTCCCTGAAGCGCTAGCAATAAAGGTGAGCACTTTTCCAGGCGATAGGTGCACTGCTGGCCCTCGTACAGTCCGCTGAGGACAAGACTTCCTTTTACCTTCACGTAGTGGGACTTGGGAACTCGAAGGACTGCTTCTAGTGTTTCTGGATTCAATTTCAACACGTCGATGCAAACGGCAGCTGCAATTTCCCCAAACAGTTGCTTGACGGCTTGCAGAACGTTCTTTTTCAGATAAGGGGCTGTAAATATTTCTACAGGCCTCTGGAGAATTCTGAAAAATGCAACGGTAAGTCAGGTGAGCGCTTTTGTGACCGAATCACTGACAATTTGATGTGGAGATAATAATAATTACTCATTTCATTTGGCTGGTATCCATAGAAGCTTCTCGTGGAAATTAAGGACAATTTTCTTCAGTTGGAAAGATTGGTCGTTGACTCTCAGAATCTGCAGGCTTACTGGTGTCGGGTTAGAAACATAAGACATCTTCTTATTCGGCATCAGTTAGAATTTCGCAGTATCGATCGAAATAAAAAAGAAACCCAGAAGATCGCTCAGCGGTTTTCTCACTTGCACGCATGCATCATTTGTGAGGAATTGAACGGAAGAATGTTAGATCTGACAATATTGTACCGAAATATGGGCAGCCGGCAGCCGTTATAGAGTTGTCAGAATTCCAACCTCAAAAACAATCAATTTGCCTCTAAAAAATACGCGGAGCATTTTACGAGTGGTTTTTTTTCTCTAATAGCTTAAGCTACAGATTCACATAAACATAGACTACGTGCCAGTTGCGTGAGCCCCGAAATTTTCTAGGGTTTTCCCCAATTTGGCGTAGAAGTCAAAATGCCGCCAAAGAAAAAAGTAGCTACTGGCTACAAATTTGCTGAGCCTCTGCCTAAAGGCACCGTTCTCACGGACGGGGCCAAGCAGTCGTGGAAGCTCGGTGCTTCGATCGGGAAAGGGGGCTTCGGGGACATTTACGAAGCCCGAAAGGACGGCACCAGAGGCGCCAGCTATCCCTGCATAGTTAAAATTGTAAGACCTTTTGTTACCTGATGTGTGATTGATTATTATATTTGCTAATTGTTCAGGAACCTCATGCCAACGGCCCCCTTTTTGTGGAAATTAACTTTTACATCAGACATGGAAAACCTGCCGATGGTAAGTACCTGGCTTTAGCTGCTTTATCGATTTATAATGCTTCCTTGCAGTTGAGGCGTACAAAAAGGCAAAAAAGCTTCAAACGCTTGGAATTCCCCTTTATTACGGGTCAGGCTCCCATGACTTCAAGGGCGAAAAATACCGATTTTTAGTAACCGACAAGTTCTCCAGGGATCTTCACACTGTGTTCCAAGAACATCAGGCTTTTCATTCGGGTACAGTGTTTAACATCGCCATTCAGCTGGTAAAATTTGCCAGGAAATGTTCAGAACATTTCGTTATGTTTTTGTTATTTCTATGCAGCTGGATGCCCTGGAATATATCCATTCCACAGGATATGTACATGCAGATATTAAAGGTGCGAATATTCTCCTCGGGATACCGGAAGGCAAGCTGGATAAACAGGTTTACTTGATGGATTTTGGATTGGTCACAAAGTTCACAACGCAAAGCACTTTCAAGCCCAACCCTAAAAAGGCCCATGATGGAACAATCGAGTTTTTGAGCAGAGATGCCCATCAAGGCGGTAAGAAATCAGTTGAAAAAAATTGATAATTCATACTGAACATGTGCAGGAACGTTTTCCAAAAAAGTCTGATTTCAGTGCCAACGAGAAGAGGAGATTTGGAGAATTTGGCCTACGTTTTGATTCAATGGTTGGGCGGCACTTTACCCTGGGAAGACAATCTGAGTGATCCAAAGACTGTCCAAAAAAGCAAAGAAAAGCACATGTCTTCCGCCAAGGAAATGGTTAAAGCTTGCTTTGGATCAAAGCCACATCCAAGTACGATGCTTTCCGGCTTTCATGAATACTTGACTGGTTGATTGACTTTTTTTACTTTCAGAAGCGATTTCCACCTATATAACTTACGTTCTGTCCATGGACTTTGACACACCGCCGGATTATAAGAAAGTACGCTCTATCTTTGAGTCTGGTCTGAAGGAAGCACGCGAACGTGTCGGGGCGCCATTGACATTCCACACATCGCTCACGCCTACTTAAGGCCAGGGGAGAAGGACTGAAATTCAACAGGCGGGCCACCAAAGAACAGGGCGGGCGTTTGATTTTTTATTTTTTAAGTTTGTAAGTACTTTTTATATAAAATAATCGTTGCTGGATGAGCGCCTTATTGTATGGGCAGCTAGGAACACTACTACTAACTAAATTAAGCATTAAACTTTAGCTGGACGGATATTGAACTTAACGTGGTCAACAGTTTGCGCCTTCCATCCATCCATAAATAACGTTCAAGATTCAGATGATGTAAGGCCTAGAAACCCACATCTTAATTTAGGCTACCTAAGCCGGTTCCTCTTCCCATCCTTTGAATTGAATATTCACATTTATGAACGTCGCCAAACACATAAATAGTGTTCAATACCGGTATTTTACCCAAATCGTTTAAAGGCTCTCGTTGTTACGCTACCTGAATTATCGGTCGATTTCCGTAGAAAACAGGAGGCGTTACATTCTTGAACACAGTCGTAATGGAACGCAGTTTACTAGCGCCAGTCAACTAGGGGCTTAATTCAGTTTGTTCTTGAGTTTTCACTAATACTGACTGTTTCTACAATTAATTATTAGTTACTTATATGGTCGGTAGTTTTAAGCAATTGCATTTTTCAAACCTTTTCCACTCGAAATCTGTCAAAGTTATGTCAACTTCTCCGTCATTTCGTCGCCTTAGTCGTTTGTTGATGAGCTTCTTTTGAATTGCAACAAAAAGCGAAAAGTTTTCATTTTTCTGTGCAAAAGTGCCGATTTTCTGTATCCAGATGTTCAGCTGTGGCGTCTTGTGATATTTTTCAGTGCGGTAGTGCGATTTTAACGAAAAATCTGGTGTTTTCAAGGTGGAAGTTATTCTGACGTCTTGGTGGCAAAGTGATTTTCACATGCGTTGACTGGGAGACGAAGCTTTCATTGCTACATAAAATGGCGGCGGCAGATTGAGACATTGAAGCTAGTGATGGAAACTATCGAATTATTCGATAGTTGTAATTCATTCGATTAATCGAGAGCGATGTTTTCAGCGATGGAAACTGTCGAATTTTTCGATAATTTAATTAATCATTCACTATTTTCTTGTCAAAATGTACTTTTTCAATGTCAATTTAAAGCCTTTGGAGGATATTCTAGTAAGTGGAGAATTTTGTTGTTTAGTTATTGTGGCTCGACATCGAATCAAAGTGCATTTTAATAATAACCTCTGGTGCATTTTATTATCAGGTTTTATCGATTTCTTTTTCATTTCCACTTTGATTGACTCTGCACGTTAAGGATTAAAAAATATATATAAATTTACAAACTAATTTGATCAAATGTGATAAATGGCGTTAATCTAAGGAATTTCTGGGTTCAGTAGAAACGGAATTTATTAACTTCAAGTTTAATGAGGAGTGAGCAAATATACGGGTCCTTTACGTAGATCATGCATTAGAAGTTTTCCAACTTACAGTTACAAACAAGGGCGGATCCGGGGGGGGGTCATGACACCTCCCCCCCCCATTCAATTCTCTATCCAACGATGCCAAAACGAATTCTGTAGATTTTGCAACTCAAAAAAAAAAA